CTGTCAAGTCGAGAAGCTCGGCTTGAATCGACCCTCTCTCTTGAGAGGCGTAGTATACATAGTGTTAGGAAGAGTTCATTCTGTAGTTATAGGTTAAGACCCATGACAGTAACCCTCTACCTCGAGTGACTCCCAGGCCTTGTATAGGTTGGACCTCTCTATAAAAAAATACCATTTTATAGCTCGAAGCCATGAAAAAACATTCTAGAGGGTGCTCCAGAAATCGATTTCAAAAGTTATTAACTCCTTTATTTCTTAGCTTTAATTAATAATTCCATAGTATTACAAAGAGTAGATATCTATATCTATAAAATAGAGAATGTCTGTATGTCTATGAGTCTGTGTGATACCTTTTCACTCGAGATCTATCAAACCGATTTTGACCAAACTTGGCATATACATTGTACAATGGAAGAGGGAGGTTCTTAGCGTAAAAAATTGATAATTTTAAAAAATCAATAATCGATAAAGCCGATCAAAAATCGATAAATTCAACTTTTTCCTCTGATTTCTTTCAAACTCCGTATGTAGGTTACTTACATCATGACGAGCTCATCTATACCTCATTATTATTTCTACAACACTGCGACAAAACGATTTAAACACAAATTTTAAACTAAAACCTCCATCAATTTTCAAGCAATCTAATACAAACTTCACTCAATTGTAGCCAACAATAAGTTGATTGTTTAACAGTCATTTAACCTGATAATTGTGTTCACCCATATAGTGAAAACCTGCGTAAATAGTAAAAATGGCGATTTTTACTTGTTTCTTTCTTATTTTTCGTTGATCGTTCACCCAGTTTTTATCAAACTTAACAATTTCTTTATAAATGTATCCTCTTTTACATCCCTGGGCACACTGACAAACTGAATTTAAAAACTCCAAAATAATTGTGGTCTGAAGTGGGTCTTCTTGTTGCCTGTTTTACCTCTTCATGTCCTCGTCTAACTACTTCTAATATATCAGTTACTGCATTAATTCAAAATATTTTTTAATGAAAGTACTTTAAAGTAATTGAAGAAGATAGACTCTGTTACATCTAAACATGATGCTGTTTTTGCTCCATTCTAATTGAACGCTTTTTTTGATCGACCAGCTGGGTATGGCTGCCAGTAGGAAATAAATATACACAAGTTGAGAAAGATTCCATCTTTTAAGTGGGGTCCATTTTCAGATTCCCACCCACGTGCACTTTCTAAGGTATTTTTCATCACACCCTCAGTCTTTCAGGATCGATTAATTTGATGTATGTCTAAATGTTGTTCAGTTGTTAGAGATTCTGAAGCTTGTTGACATCAATCTTTTCTTTGGGACAACTGCATAGGAAGAATTCAGGGCTTGTCAAATCCGGAGAACATGGTGCCCAGTTTATGCCGCAAGCGTGAGAAATTATGCTTTTCCCCAGTATTTGACTGTGAAGCTGGATTGTGATCCTTGTCAAATGAACTGGTGAAGTAGGCTCTTCCCAGTCATAACCCGGGGATTATTCTAGAGTAGGCTAAATTATATCCATGTATATTTTGGGAGGAGGTTAATCTGGGTTGCTACAGCGGTTCAAATAAACATTCCACGTAGAATGTTTATATAAGTTTAGAAAACGTGGAACGAAATAATCGTGCCGTGGAGAAAAATAACTGAAAGATAATAAACGTGCCGTGTGAAGCAAGTAGCGTAACAGCAGATTTTTCATTTCTTTTAGAATATCGATATTGCACTCTGTGGAAAAACTGGAGTTTCATTTGGTAAGTACTGACACCAAAAATTAGATTCATAACTTTTACCAATTCTTGAGCATCTTGTTTTAAATATCGTCTGAAAAATGTACACAAATACCTATAAAAAATTTTCGCATGTTTTTGCTGACTTTAAAATTTTAGAGTCTCAAGAATAAATCCAAATAATTTTTTTTTATCTTTTGTATTAGAAACATTGAAAGGAAAATATATTCAAACTAAAATTATAATTATGAATCATCACAAGCGAAATATGAAATATTTATACTGTATTCGATAAGTAAAAACTGTAAAAATTGTAAATGATTACAAAAAAGCTATCCAAATAATAGGATTTGTCAGATCATTTGTTAGACCATAATTAAAAAAAAATAAACAAAAGTGTATATAACACCATAATACTGCTGGGCACAAATTTTAAGACAAAAATGTTTTAAATTTGCATTGTTTATAGAAAATCACGCTAAAACTACTGTACTGTAAAATATATCACATTGTTCAATATAATTTCCCTTCGAAGTAAATGAAGGTCTTATTTGAGTAATTCATTAAAAAAAAAAAAAAACTTTTTACGAAAATAAAACCATCCAAGATTGTAAATTTTCTTAAAAGAAGCTGGATTGTACTAAAAAATATATGAGTAATTGAAAAATGGTTCAAATATATATGTATACATGCACACCTTTTTTTTTTATCAAACTATCGCTATGAATCTATTTCAAAATTTTGTTGGCATTAAATGACCCACTGAGGTTTTGATATACCATAAAACAAAAGAACCAACCAACCAACTCGATAAGTAAAAACTCTAAAAAAAAGTTGTAAAAGATAGCAAAAAAGTCTACTCAATGAATAAGATTTGTTAAATCATTTGATAGATCATAATCAATAAAAACAAAAAAATAGATAAAAGTGTATATAACATCATAATCCTGCTGGGTACAAATTATAAGACAAAATGTTTAAATTTGCATTGTTGATTGAAAATCACACTAAAACTACTGCACTGTATAAGATCATAATATAGCTAAATTGTTCAATAGAATTTCCTTATGAAGTAAATGAAAACATTAAAGTTAATTTTTTGGCCACGGAAAACGTTAATAATGTGTTAAAGTGTATCTTGGCATCTTGTTCATATGCAGTTTGTAAATTCAGTAAGTTCAGAAAAATTATAAATTTTATAATACTTAATTTCTAGAGTTTTTTTGTCAGCAAATTACAAACTGACCTTCAATTTTTGTTATTTCAAGAATAAATGTCAAATAAAGTCATTATATTTTGTATTAAAAATATTGCATAGAAAATATATTCAAACTAGAATTTTAATTAGAATAATACAAAATATAAAATATGCAATTTTCTTTTATTGTATTCCATAAATTTGAAATAAATGTGTCCAAAAATTTAAAAAATTTAGAAAAATTTCTATGATTTAATAGATCATAATTAATAAAAACAAATAATAGATAAAAATGAATAAAACAATTGTTTTAATTACTGCTGGTCATAAATTTATAAGTCAAAATGTTTTAAAATTTGCATTGTTGATTAAAAAATCCAGGTGAGAGGGTTCAAAACATAGCACTGTATAATCTATTATATCATAATATAGCGAAATTTTTAAGGATAATTTCTATTGTTATTTCCAAAATGAAAATTTTTGGTCAATGCAGGTCCTGCCTTCATCACATACCGCCAGGAATTTTAAACTGAAATTTTTATTTAATCTATCGAGATAGATTGCGTATATCATTCTGCTGTCATTTCGGTTGTTAATTTGTTTCAATTTTGTTTTTAGAAAATCAATATTGTTGTGCGTAAGTGAATGGAACGAGTTCGAATTCCAGTCGAGATTTTTAGATTAACTTACGCACAAATACCCTTAGAAAACGTATGAATAAATCTCCACGCCCATTTATGGGCTGAATATAGCACAGACCCCATTCTTTAACCTATTGGCAAATCAGATCTACTGCAGAAAGAAATGGCAACCCTACTGTTGGAAAAAAGATCTGCCTCGTCAGTCATGCATCGAAAGATATATGATCGCTCGTATCACGTATGGCACATAACTGACTGACTTCCACTTTCCAGTCAAGAATCCACTACATTCACTTACGGGGATAATACCCTTGGGAAAAAAATGAATCCTTTTTCTTTTAGCCCAGCTTTGGGTACAGTAGCAAACAGACTGGGTTCTATAGCGTTAGTGGCAACTGATTTTGTCGGATATAATAAATGTCATCCTACTGCGGAAAAAATCTGCCTAATATATTTATATCGAAAGATACATATCGCCAAAGTATATCCCACATGGCAAATTTAATTGACTGACTGACTTTTGTTTCGAATCCATTACATTCACTTAGCTGATTTTACCCTTGGGAAAAACATATGAATCCTCTTCTCCAGTAGGACAGACCGAGTTCTATAGCCTTGGATGGCAACTTGTTTATCGCAGAAAGAAATGGCAACCTACTGCGGGGAAAAATCTGCCTCGTCAGTCATGTATCGAAAGATGCATGATCGCCCAAACATGTATGGCACTTAACTGATTGACTCGGTGTTAAAGCTGGGATTTGATGTGATAAGTACTGACACTAAAAAATAGATTCTTAGTTTTAAACATTTTTGAGCATTTACTTTGTTAGATCATAATTAATTAAAAAAAAAAACAAAACAAAAATAGATAAGATATATATAACGCCATAATAGTGATGGGCATAAATTATAAGAGAAAAGGTCACGAGCAATAACATTGCAGATTCTTTGGATTTTGTCAAGAATCTCCAGATACCAAATATATTGGAAGGGGTTTAATTTGGTCTTCTACACCGGTTGTTCACGTGTACAACATAGATCTAAAAGGCGGCATCTTCCAGCGAATAAATGCCCAACCCTGAACGTGATGATGCAATTAATTGTATTCGGTTTGAAGTAGATGAGCTTTTAAAATAGTCAAGCAGATACTATGCTTTCTATATATTTACGCAGACGTGGTGCTACAGTTAGCGAGCTAGTCTCGTCAACAATTACAGCTGGGTTTCATACTCATTAAAATCTCACTGTTATTGGCCTTGTATAAAAAAAAAGCTATACAATCTTATAAATAAACAAATATTCTTTATTTTCTTCAGTTTTTTTTTAGTTAATCTTTGAAAGGAATTAATCAGAAAATATTCCCGTGAGGTTTTTCGTAAGTTTGAATTAGATTTTTTTTACCAGATTAGAAACAAAGAAAGAGACATATCAAATGATTTAAAAAGGAAGAAATAGGAGAGAGAGAAAGAGAGAAGAGAGAGAAGAGAGAGAGAGAGAGAGAGAGAAAGAAAGAAAGAAAGAAAGAAAGAAAGAAAAATTAAGAAAAAAGAAATACGAATACAGAGATAGAGAAAGAGAAAATGCTAGAAGTTTCATTTATCTTTAATCGATTTCAAATAGTTTTTCGGATAATATTTTCATTCCAATAATATTGCATTCCCGCCAAGCGAACGCCATTATTGTCCGAGCTATTTCTGTGCTTCGTTCTCGTGCTACAACCTGTCATTTTTCCCGCCTTTCATTTCTAACTCGACATCGAATCGATAAAAATCGACTCGGATAAAAATAAAATTTCGATTTTATAGTTACAGTCGTTATATGTAAGGACAATAAGTAAGAAAAAACAAAAATCATGGAAAAATGACTAAGTTACGATGTTATTCGAGATTTGAGGCGTATTAAATAGTTTCTAAATTTGTCTATATCTCTGGGATGAGGTATTATGATTACTTGCATTATTTACAATATTCGGGCTGTTATCCTCATCTTCACTGCCATATTCACAACATTTCAGCCTCTATATCTCTGAGATGAGGTATTATGATTACTTGCATTATTTACATTATTCGGACTGTTATCCTCCACCTCACTGCCATATTCACAACGTTTAGGCCTCTATATCTCTGAGATGAGGTGTTATGGTTACTTGCATTATTTACATTATTCGGACTGTTATCCTCATATTCATTACCATATTCACAACGTTTCGGCCGTTGTACTCTCCGTCCTTCTTGGATTGGAAATTCGAACCGAACACTTTATTTCGTCCACCGGGATAGATTGTTCTTGTTCCACGTATCATGTCCCTTGCAGTTGTCTCTGTAATTTCCCAATGGATAAAGACGTTGGTTAGATCCAGTGACTAGACCCAAAGAGTTTGAGTTCAATACCAGGCCACAACAGTGGTGAATCCAAAAAAAATTGAAGAGCTGAGTTAAAGGGCAATATCTCGTATCTGTTTTCAATTCTTTTGTCTTCATCGCTGTATCAGGGACGAAATCAGTGCCAGACAATTTTCTATTTTTTTCTTCCTCGGTTTATTTCGGTGGGAACATACGATATTTGTAGCATCGTTTTTTTTTACGGGGCGTGGAGAGCAAAAGGAAGTGGGAAACAGTTCGGATGTCAACCGGTTGATCAATTATTACCCATCGTCACGTGCCGGCTTGTCTCACTAAGAAATCTGGGTGCAGAGATACGTTTTGATCCTTCTAACTCTTGCAGCCGTATTAATTTTCTTCCCGTGTGTTTTTAGGTTTTATACCAAAACTTAAAAGGAACCAATCCACCATTCTCAGAATTAAATACATATTGAGTTAAAAGCCTCGCAATTGTGTCCGGGTCGTCAGAGTTCTGACCAGAAGTTTGCCATTCCGTGCCAGTCTACGTATTCTATTGTGTCAGTCAACCAAACACCCTACAGCTATATGCAGTAGTAATTTGTCTAGGTTGTTGCGCGTCCGTACCTGTAGATTTCCCTGTAGAGAATAGAGCCATTGTCAAACATAAATTGGCACAAGGCCTCAACGATGGAGCACTTGGTGAGGATTAGCACACTCACTCGCTAGTAACTACCCCTAGTGAAAGTGACCTAATAATTAAATACTACGCTTCATTTAGCGCCAGTCCAAAATTATAGGGTAGCCAGTAAATAATGAAGTAATTCTTATTTTTTTAAATGTCGTCTCCCTTCAGGATGTAAGCGGTCGTGCAATTACTTTTTTCTTTATTATCTGCAAATTGCTATGAACTCGTAGGAAAAGTTGTGGAGTGATTTCTCGTTGTATTCTCCACAGTTTGAATTTAGAGTTATTGTTCCCTTAGACTGATTACCATCCAAGGCTATAGGTCCTACTCTGTCGCGCTATTGCTATTTTACATCCTTGTCTCAATTTAATTGATATAAAACGAATTATTCCGTTATTATTTACTTTTTTTTTGTATTTTTCCAATAAATCATGACCCAGTACACATGTTAGTACTTCGTATGTCCATTCCACGAAGTCGTTCCTTGCAGATTGACCACAGATTCTCGATTGGATTTAAATCAGGAGAGTTTCCGGCCCAATCTATAGTACTTTGATTTGCTCACTGTGCCAATGTGTTCGTGCAGCGTTATAATTTTGGTACGCTTCCTTGGAGTAACGTCCATTGCAGACAATGGCCATCGGACTACTAATCGACAGTCGAGACAATAGTGTTTGGGCGTGATAAAAATCTATTGCAATCACTGATGACGCAATATTTTTCAAAGCCAAATAAACTTCATCATACACACTGAAAATAGATTCATATTACTGCACACCACTGCAAACGACCTAATCAGAGGTAAAATAGAAATCGATGACTCACTGTCACTCCGGTGTGGCAATAACTGACCGTATGGTGAAAGAAAGGAAACTAAAGCGGTTGCTCCAATTAATTTGAGCAAGGATGTAGGAGAAAAGAGATTGGTTCATACCTTTCCCAGGAATACAGTATTAGTGATAGTCGTCGTAGTTGTATTATTAGTGTTTCGATACATGACTGACGAGGCAGATTTTTCCCCGCAGTAGGTTGCCATTTCTTTCTGGGGTAGACAAGTTGCCATCTAAGGTTATAGAACCCGGTCTGTCCTGCTATTTACCCATAACCGGGGGGGTAGAAGAAAAGGATTCAAACCTTTCCCAAGGGTATTAGCACGTAAGTGAATATAATGGATTCGACTGGAAAGTCAGTCAGTTATGTGCCATGCGTGATACACGTTTAAACGATCGTGTATCTTTCGATACATGACTGACGAGGCAGATTTTTTCCCGCAGTAGGTTGCCATTTCTTTCTGCGGTAGTCCAGTTGCCATCCAAGGCTATAGAAGCCGGTCTGTCCTACTGGAGAGAAGTGGATTCATACCTTTCCCAAGGGTATTAGCACGTAAGTGTACAGGGTGCGAAAGAAATACCTCCCACATTTTAAACAGTGACCCTTGTGAGGCTAGTAAACTTAAATAAGTAGAAATAGTGGATTAATTTAGTTAATGTCTTACTATTTCTTTCTCCGCTAGGACTTGTTACCATAATGGCTTGGACTGGTTCACACTTTAAGTTTGCTGTTGAAACATTTTTAAAACTTTTGAATCTGTAATTTTATCACAGAGCATTTCGGGTTTATTTACTGTTACATCGGAATTACCCTTTTTCAAAGTCTGTCTATATTTCTGAGATGAGGTATTATGTACACTATTTACATTATTCCGACTATTGTCCTCATCTTTGTCGCCATATTTATTACAACGTTTCGGCCTTTCAGTATCTGTCTATATTTGTGAGATGAGGTATTATGTACATTATTTACATTATTCCGACTATTGTCCTCATCGTTGTCGCCATATTTATTACAACGTTTCGGCCCTTCAGTATCTGTCTATATTTCTGAGATGAGGTATTATGTACAGTATTTACATTAGTCGGACTATTGTCGCCATATTTGCCACAACGTTTCGGCCGTTGTATGCTCCGGCCTTCTTCATGTGGTTGGAATTTCGAACTGAACCCTTTATTTCGATCACTGGGGTAGACTGTTCTAGTATCTAGTTCTACGTGCCATGTTTGATGCCATCAGCTAATTTTCCCTCTGAAAGTTCTCCACTGCCTTAACCAGGCATTGAACTCACCTTCTTTGGGTCTGTCACCGGATCTAACCAACGCCTTTATCCACTGTGCCATGTGTCCTTGGCACTATGAACTTCTGAGTATTATAAACCTAATGTTTCCAGCATCATTTTTACCAGTGCTCATATTGCAATTTTGCTGTTATCATTGCATGTCTTTACCAGAGTTCATATTGCAACTTTGTTATTATTGCTTTTCTCTGGCACTCCTTATTACTGGTTCCCATATTGTATTTATTTCTATGCTTGGTCGGCTCAGGAGATTTTTGTGGCCTAGCATATGTGCTGATTCCTTAAGTTTACGAATTTTCCAATGGTGTTCCTTGTCTATGATTTCAACATGATCCCACAAAGGGCGGTGATCTCCCTTCTCCATATGTGGTCAGCCACGCCTGATTTTTCTACTTCCCCTCGTGTTACAGCTTTCTGGTGTTCTTGAAGACTTACCTTGAGGGGGCGGCCTGTCTCCCCTTTATATTCCTTTCCGCAGCTGCACGGGATAGCGTACACACAGTCTTTAGTCATGTTCCTCTCTGTCGGGGGGTCTCACTCGTGAGAGATATCTGCGACAAATATGGCGACAAAGATGAGGACAATAGTCCGATTATTGTAAATACTATCCTTTTGTCGGTTAGGAAATCGATACTTCTATGGGTTGAAAGTTCCAGGGCCGTGGGTTGAGTGCTTAAAAGCAAACCACCTGGAAGACTTCGAAGTGCTCAAAGCTTCCGAGCGATAGAAAAGTTTAGAAATCGTCTGCAACAGTGAATGGCGAATAGTGACAAGCATTTGGAGGATATCATTTTCACACCCAAATGAACAAAAGTTTAAAACGCGGGTGGGGGGAGTATTTCTGCCACCCCCTGTATAATACAAATGCATTACAAATGATTTTACTATAAAAATGAAAATCAGTTATTATCAATGGTCAGCAATTGGTTCAAGCCTTATTTACAATCTTTAAAATATGGTTTGGTTTGGTATGTTTTACGGCATATCAACCTCAATTGGTTATTTAAAACCCTCAAGATTTTTATTGCTGCTAATGTTTTTTTCAAAAATGTATTGCTGCTAATTTTTTTTTCAAAAATTTATTGCTTGTATTAAAACCTATTTTTACACTTTCATAGTGTTTTGACCCCGGTTTGAGGGTCAACTATTTGCCCAATTTAGAGACCCTAACAGGTGCTACCACTCCGAGACAGGGTGGACCTGGGAACACCAACAATTAAGACGTGGTTCCACGTTCCTCAAAACCTCCTAATCAGAGGCCTTGCTGCCAGATGTAGTTTATCATCTTACCAAGGACGCGGATGTAGTTTATCGTCTTACCCGGGACGGATTAAAATGAGGGAGATATTTCTGCTAAACTCTAATGTAAATGATTTGCTTATGATTTTACTATAAAAACGAAAATCAAGAATTATCAATGGGCAG